AAGAGCTTAAACCTAGGCTAAAGGCGAGGTTAAGAATTCTCTACTAAGTATCGCTCTCGCTATAACTATATAACGCCTCTAACTCTCTACCTTTAGCTCTACCCTTAATAGTTCGAACTTTTAGGCTATAGTCCTATAAAAGCTTAGTTTTATTAGTTAAGTCCTTTAAGTAGGTATAGAAACCTATATAACTATAGTATATCGTACCTACTACTTACTCTCCTTATATATTACTAATATATATAGAATAATATAGAGTTACCTTTATAGCCTAAGTATACTTTTATAGTAGCTTTAGCTTATAAGCAGTCTTCCTAATCCTTTACTTAATTATAAAGGGGCTAATAAGCTTATTAAAGAGCTTTTTACTTACTTTATACGTATAAATATATTTTACTACAAGTATAATTAGATCTCTAACCTTAAACTCTACCTTAAGTCTCTTTTTATTATATTAAGAGGTAACTAGCTACTATATATACACCTAGCTTACTTTTAGTATACTATATACCTCTAGGATCTTATTTACGCGTTCTTTCGCCGATATATTCTTAAAGTTAGGTTAGGGTAGGTTAATATTCTTACTGACGATTAGTTTAAATATAAATATAACTTTCAATAAGGTCTTACTAGTAGTTATATTTTACGTACTATTATATATATACTTTATACTTATAAATAGCCTAGGTTAATTAGATTACTCTTTATTTATATAACTCCTTAGGTAGTATTTTAGAGTTTAGTTAGTTCTCTCTATTTAGCTATTCGTTTAGGGATAAAAAGCAGTTAAGAGGCTCCTATAGATCGTAAGTATATAGTATAGCGTGCCGGTAGATAAGAGCCCAGATTCTCGTGTCCTAATTTCTCGCTCCGGATTAGTGGGTGAGCTGCCGCCGCTTTAGCTCACCCTGCAAGTGAGCCGAGGGTGAGACTACGGTGAGGTTTAGGTGAGCGGACAATGCACGGCCACACCTGTGGCTGGCAAGGTTCCACTCAACCTCGAAGGCTGTTGTTCGGCACTGAGTCGTGATTCGTCGATCCTTGCCCAAAGTTTTGCATCACGGAGAAACTCGACATGCACAGACTATACGCCCAGTAACAGAATCTACTTCCTCAATTTACCGCGAGTGCTCCTGCTAGGATGTTACATGTTTTACTATGTTCATTGTTGGACGCATCAATTACACGTTAAATTGCGGTCGCTGGATGTATACACATCTTTGCACATAAGCACAAATTTCTGACAATGCCAATTGCCTTCGCCAAAGATTGCTCTATTCCTCACGAGTAACACTGTCGCTTACGCTATAGCCTAGAGCGGCATGATGAGCCACAACAAGTCCCAAAACGCCTACACCACCAACAGCATAGGCTCTATGGGAAGGTTGGCGCTTCATGTTGTGAGGTCAACCACTCACCATCCCAGCACTATTCTCCATCACATGCAAAGTCGACGAACGGGATGTAGTGACTGGCAGACAGCCAATATCGAGGCCGGCGCACGCATCGAACATGATCGTGGTACCACATTCAGTGGCTATGAGAACTTTGACTTTGCCTTGTCTCAATCAAAATCCACTGAGCTAAAGCCAAGTTGCAGGAGCTATGCTGGTCAATATCAACACACCATCTGAAGCCTAAACGGGTCCTTGCATGCGATAGGTCTCTACATTCATGTCTTCCCGCACACACCTCATCGCTGGATTCCACCCTTTATGTCCACCTAGCTAGAGTGGTGCAAGTCAGGTTGAAATGGATGTCTGGCTGAAGCTCATTGCTGCTTCCACCCGCGTTGGCACTTCAGTCTCTGACTGGCGATCACCTTCTTTTGTGCTCCAGGCGCCATTCCTGATCTGTTTGCACTAATATTACCAGATGTTCGTTCACAACCTTCTCGGTGAGGCCGGTGGTAAGCAATTCAAGATTTTGAGAGCTCGGGCATACCGAGTGGAACAAACACTTCTTGCAGATTGATACCAAGGCATAGTTCCAGTCGTCTCTGAGACGCCTCAACCTCATTCCTCCCGTTATTCCCACACCAGGAGTTGGACTGATCCATCTGTGCGAGCGGCTCATCTATAGCGGTATGGTGTTGGGTGTCACGGTTTGCATCATGGTGGCAAGAAAAGACATGGGCAAGCAGGTTTGGTCAAGGCAGACTGAGATCCTTGGCCGCAAAGCAATAATGTCAAGGTTGCATCCGTGCACCTGCACGAATCCAACAGACACAGGTCCTCATGGATCAGCTTTGGCCACAATCTATATTTCATGCTCCACGTCGCTGAGGGACAAAATGTCGTACCATCCTTGTAGATCTCGTGGTTCCACATCGATCCTCCTCGAAGCATCTGAACATGAAACGGTGATTGCCCAGATACCATAAACAGCTATAGCGAACCGCCGCCTGTCTCCAACCGCCGAGCAGACATGACTTGCAAGTTGTTGCTAATGCACAATCGTGCCTAAGCAAAGTTGGAGCACATTTAGTTTCGTTCATAACAAGGGTCGGACGGATCCTTGTATGCCGCATGAAGCGGTGCACAGAAACCAAGAGGAAACTCGACCGTTTTCAAGTGACCAGGATGCTATTGCACGGAATCTGTCGTTTAGGGAGCCTTTGTAGAGCAGCTCGAAGATACCTAGCCGTGGTCCTTGGCGCCGAGAATATGATGCATTTCTCTTCACGGTCTGTTGATCTGGAATTTAGTTGATATTGCTACATGAAGAGTGTGCTTCTAATGTAGAATGTGACGATAGCCTACTTCAGCCATAGTGATACATGCAGTGGTTTGCACACTGATTGGCCCAGGTATCACACGGAAACTGTCTGTGAAGACACTTTATGAGCACTTGTGCCCAGTCTTGCATGCATCACGGTGTTGTGTGCGCCTGTGGAGAGCAATCAAAAATCGTGCGCTGCCAGTAAGCCATCGTTGTCGTGGTGTCGTCCAGAGCGTAGAGTCCAGTATGGATCAGCTATAGTGAGGTGGAGTAGATTCCTTGCTCTTATTTTAATGGTCTTTTCCGATATCAAGCTGATGTAGCACATGTCCTACGGGAGGGGGCGTAGACAGCTTCGATCTGCTTGTGGCACGAGAGAATGAACCAGACTCCAAAGGCTAGATCAAGCCCCCAGTGCTAGCGCTGACCTGAGACTTCGAGCTTCGTTGACGGCTGAATCCGACAGATCGAGGTCCGCAAAGGCGAAAGCAGTCCTGAGGTCACCTCTTCGTCGATGTAAGGGTCTGATGAACTTGGTAGATCGCCGCAAGCTCTGTTGCAATCTCCGCTATCAGCAGATCTTTGATCTATCTGCACTCGTTCCAGCCCTTCTTCGAGCGCATGCAACCGATGCCAGTGGCTGAGATTAGTGTGGCATTGGAAAAGGGAATGAATCTCCAACTACTCAAGGTACATCATGTTCAGCTAATAGATAGACTAATTCTGCGCCAAGTTAAGTCGTGTTGTGATGGTTTACCTCGAGACGTGTCGTTAATGGTCGCGAATTCACGTGAGAACCCCGGTTTGCCCACATGGGCAAGTTAAGCGCCTGTCTTTTTGTGGTTCTGAAGACTTGCGACGAAAGCGCATGCGCTTGGAATGGACTGCACCTCCCAGTTCTCCCACTTCTCCATCATTGGCATGACCGGTAACCTCTTCGTTTCGCATGCATCCATATAACCCACCATCTATGCCCTCGCCTCGAGTAAAAATCTATCGTCTTCCAGGCCAATGCACGACACCCATCGTCCAGCACATCCCTCTGATCTATCGATCTGAATGGCAAGAAGTCATTTTGAGTAATTCTTATTTATGTCGGAGGGTCCTGGGCCAAGTGGCAACCCTGTTGGCAGATCTGAGGGTCAAAGTAGAAGATGAGCAGAGAGACCACCGATCACAGCTTCAGCAACTCGAAGACGAGAAAACCACGTTGTTAACTCGGCTTTCATCTGTGATCGAGAAAGTAAACAGGACAACAGCGTGTCGCCACTGCAGCGTCAAGTTTAAGGCTTTCCTCGAAGCTCCCGATGCGACATTGCGGTGCCGAGACTGCAGAACACGACATTATTAGATGGCATTTATCCAGTCAAGTCTTACGTCGTCTTCACCCGGTATGCTTTTCTTGTTCATGCAAATTCGATTCAGTGTTGGAATACGCGCATTACCGTTCGCGATGTTTCAAGTCTAGCGTCGCAAGTCAAACTTTTTGTCTGTTGATATTGTCAAGCCGTTGTACTGAACATTCGATAACAAGGCTGATTCTCGCGAGTTCTCGACTTCGAAGGTTTCTAGCAAGTCTACGAGTCAGGTCGTCCTGTTTCTTGCAAAATTGACCCTGTCAGGAGGTAGGAGGCACGCGACAGGTTGAGGACATGCATCGAAACGAAGGTCAGAATCATTCCGCCTGAGAAGGAATATAGTCTTTGAGCCACAAATCTGCGCCTACATTGCAACAGACCAGTTCTTTGCTTTTGAATCATACACATCCTTTCTCGTGAGTACACCATAATTGCCTTGCTTCACACACTCTTAATTCTATCATACCAAAGGTCAAGTGCCTATTTGCCCCTGATTTGTGCGCTTTGATTAAGAAACGGTCCTGTCTAGCCTCGCTTTAAACAGGTTGTATTCGAACTACACTGCTGTGGAGAGTACAACTGCCTCTTCTGTCGGTCACTGAAGTTCTAAGGTTCTTGCTGTCAGCATTCACTCTCTTTTATGTGGTTTACTGAACATACGAAAGCACACAGTCGCTTAACTTTTCTTACATAGCGAGATACCTGCCGACTATAAGCTCCTTTTGTATCAGGATTGACCTCATGTGCACAAGCAGAGCGAGGTATGATGCAAAAATATGTTTCAGCGTGTCAGCAGGCGCCTTCTTATCGTAGGCTTCCGCCTGCATGGATCTACCTATATCCCAGCATAGCCGAACAGTAGTGCAACGATTGGCATAGAGCTCTTCCAAGTTGACAGGCTGATTCGAACCCGCTGAAAAATTATGCTTCCGAGGTTTTCTTCATCTGCCGAATCGAGAATAATGCTCTTGAATCGGCAAGTCGCAGTTCATCTAGCGAGTATTTCTGATATGGTGCGTGGAGAGTGATTGTCTGATAAGCAAGAGTCTGTCCATTAGTGTCTCTCTCCGTAAGAGCAAAGAATGGTACGATGCCGGTACCTGGACACCCAGCGAGGTTCGAGTCTTTCGTGCGCGACTGTTGGACTGAGTCAGCAAGGCGTATCTCTTCTAGGGAGTATTCGTGGTACAGGGCTTGGAATGTAATTGTCTGATAAGCAAGGGTCTGTCCGTCGATCTCTTTGCCGATAACAGCAGAGAAAGGTATACTGGCGGTATTCGGACAGTCAGAAAGACAAGGACTGACCGCAGGCGATTGTTGTGCGAGAAACGTGTCTGGAGTAGCGGCGGTCTCGCGACGTTGGCCTGTATTCCCAGGGCGAAGCTCACCACTATTAGCTACAGACTCTGATGTTTCCGAAGCAAGAAACTTTGTCGTTTCCAGTCCCCTGTCTTGTGGCAAACGCGCTGCACTGAAGAGAGGACCTGACGGATTTATGGTCAACGAGTCGAATGAGCCGCGCAGGTCAGAATCAGCTAAAAGTCTGATCTCCCTGTGCAGCCGCATCAGTGCCTTCTGCCGCCCTTCACCGTAGATAAGGGGCATATGAACATTGAAAATGCCCAGCAGACAGTACACCACGTCTTCGTCAACCGTTGTTTCGCGATGTTTGGCCCACGAGAAACGTTCCTGCTCAGTGATCTCGGTAAGCGGTTTACCTTGTAAGGCTTCTATCGGTATGCTGGTAACTTGTTGTAACTGTCGCACCAGCGACTTCTTGTCACCTAGCTTTGTGCCTTCTTTGGAGAAGAACTCGACCATCTGCGGCGCGACCAGCTCTTGTAGTGTCCAGCCTCTTCTAAACCAGTCACTGGCCGAGAAATTCCCCTTCCACTTTCGCCCAGCTGAGACATCAGGCAGGTAGACGTAGCACTTAGCCGCTTTCTGATACCACTTGTACATCGAGTTGATAGCCTCTGACAGCTCGGCGCTACTGCTTTTATCAATGCAGCACGTATCGACCCAGAAGTAGAGTAGGCCATCGCGCTCGGCTCGTGCCGCGCAGAACTGCAGCTTCTTATAGCCACCTTCTTTCTTGTCGATCGTACCATCATGAACATCCTTAAACGTGACTTCATCGGCTCCCCATCGGTGAGACAGGATCGCGTACTGAGGTAAGTCTTGGGTGTTGCGTTCGATCAGGCTGAAAGTATAGGTCCTACTAGATGAGCCAGGTTTTACGTATTCGAGAAGGCGCATGCTGGAAGTAAACCATCAGAAGGAAGACTTTGATGACGCAAAACACTCGACATCAGCACGAGGCTGGCATTGCGCCAGATTGACAACAATAATACACAACTGCGAATCACCTTACAGTTCTAAATGCTGTCGAAGTACGCTAAGGTGGGGAAATACGACAACAGATCTAATCAAGTGTTTTGGGCGTAGCACGCTTTCTGTCCAGACTTCTATGTCTCGAGGCGTTGGTCCATGATTACAGCTACGCTGTCGTTGCCCTTCAAGTTAACACCATCACCCACTCATAGAAGTTCGCCCGAGCGTCGTAATCCTAACCCGCACCTTCCTTTCGTTCCATAGATGTTGCAAGTCGCAGCTCAAACCCCAGCAGTCGGGAGAGGTCGAGCGAGATCGAGTTCAGCGATCCTTCGGTGGAGTTCTGCAGTGCTTTCAGCCTGCCCCGAATCCGTGACGAAGCTGAGATCCCATTATGGATAGAATTAATGGATGCGATCGCCTTTAAGGATGATAAGATATTTTTGGCACGGGCAGCCTCATTCGATCGGGAGCTGGACCGGATCTGCAAAATGCGAGTAAAGAGACGGGAATACAGATATCTGGTGCGAACTGGTAGTGCATCTAATCCTATTGCTAGTGGGCAGATTCTCACGCAATAGTAGATATGTCGATGTTCTGATTATGTACGTGCCGCTTTGATCGTTACACTATTCATCTGTGCTAACATGATCGCAGTAAAAGTATCGACGTATATCCTCGCGATCTCCTACCTCAGATCGAGAATGGTTCCTCGCTCCCCACGAAACGGGTCGATTACTCGATCGGGCTCGAATACACGACTCATAGTGTCTGGAAGGAGACAGTCCGACGTCTACAAGATCGCACACTGAGTCAGTCTCACAGCAAGATGATTCGCGACCGGATCTTGTGCTCACACATCGAAGTCAAAACCAATACAGGTGGCTGCCTCGAAGGTAGAAACCAGCTCGCACTCTGGTGTGCTTCAGGATTTAAAAAACTAGATAGCATCTGGATTGACCTGCACAGTGATGCGATAGCTCCACCTGCTGCGCCTATGCCGCTGTGGTTGTGGATGGGGAGGGACTTGCAGCTCTTCGTGGCGGTGAGGAGGGCCGACACCATTCATGTGCTTGATAAGAGGCAATGGAAGATGAGTGATAAGAGGACGTTGATGAATGTCCTGGAGACGCTTAGAGAGGTCATGGACTGGGGGTGGGAATGTTACAGGCCGTGGCTTCTGGGCATATTAGGGCAAGAGGGTGTGCCGCTGCCGGGAGAAGATGAAGAACCTATCTAAGAAGTCCTTTCCAACTTGTTGCAAATTCGACACCAGCAATCTGAGTCATTTCGCTGCTGTCGACAGAGATGCGAGTGGGGCGATTCTGCTTGCCAGTGTTGAAGACTCAAAGCAATGATTTTGCCATTGTCATAACTGGCTGATTTCAGATTTCAGATTTTAGATAGCCGTAACTAGTCGTTCCACGCGTGATAAGATTCAGCCAGCTGGGTTGCGGAGAACAGGCAGACATTGATGGTCATACCAAAGCTCATGTACGTGGTTGTCGTCGCAACACGAGTCAAACCCGTCTGACCATCAGCCTGAGGTCAAACGGTTACCAGCCGTCGATGTGGTCACCCAGAAGAACCTGTATGAGTGCCCAAGCCATCCCGTTTCCAGAATCAAGAAGTCGTTGCACTTCTTCGTAGTTCACCAATTCACGGTGCGCATTAATTGTCCTGGTCACAACCGTTCGCAGACCTTGATCGGAGCTCGGAGTTGTACTGAAGACCAGCCCAGCTGCGTACGCGAATGCTTGACTGTCCCAGTCCTGGACCACCGCTTCCTCGAACTTCTGTTTCGCCAGAGCCTTCAAGTCGTCTATCTCATACTTATCAGCCAGTGCGTACATGAGCGTGTTCACCACGAGTCGTGCTGTGCTCACATCTTGATCGTGATCTCTGAGGCGGAGTTTTGACAGTCGTCCTCTCTTCTTCTTCTTGTCCTTCTTGCCCTTCTTGCCTGTTCCAAAAGACCACTCATCTTCTTCATACATGTGGACCTCCGACGCCGCGACGATTTCCGGCTCGAGAACAGGCTCGTCGATGGGTGCTTCATGACCAAGGTTTTCGTGACACTGGATGTGATGTGCTACCGCAGATTCAGGTTGTGCAGATGTCTCTTGGTTCAGCTCGGCAGGCGGTTTACTCGGTAACAGGTCGTCGTAGTTGAGCTGGTACAAATAATCCACCATCAGACCAACCAGCTTTGAGTCGTCGTCATTCAGCTCGACTTCGTCCTTCGGGTTGCCATCCTGACGGAGGTCAATTCGCGTTCGAGGCAACAGGTTTAACTCACCTTTCCCCACTTACAAGCAATGGCAAAGTACTTGGATCGAGAACAAACAACGGCCTTGTGCAGGTAAAAAACCTCATCTTGACAGAAGATCCTCAAATCGGAGTATTCGTGAGAAGTCTGCAACTTGATCGCCGTTACCCGCTGACCAAGACCGCATCCCTAGATGACCTACCAAAGCAGCGAGCGGAGCAGCGATAGGAGGTAATTATGTTGCTGATACCATTGTCCCTACAAAGTCCGATAGCCGCAAGTTTGAGGCCTTGAGGGTGGTGAGTCTCCCTCCACCAATCTTCAAGCCTTGGTAAGAACAGCTTTGGCTTTCTTTTCGCTAAAGTCGAAACTGGCAAGGCTATGATGCATAAGGAGAAAACCTCGGGACCAATGCGAAGATAGATATCTGCCACAAGGTCGCGTGCGCGAGAGACTTCGCTACGGCGTTGTTTCGATCGTTTCCGAAGGCTTTCGCCATCTTCTTGGAGTAGGTCATAGATGGTTTTAAAGGCTTGAAGTTGATGTGACAAGTGAGGAACCAGTCTATCAGTAAAAATTGCTAACTCTGTCTCGAGGAGCTCGATGGAAGGCTCGACTGTGTCAGAAGGCTTTGCGTTCATGGTGCGTATCTGTCCATGGGAATGCAAAACTTTCTGAGAGGATTGGGAGAGTTTTGTAAGATCAGACTAGAACATATGTGATCAGACCGAACCGGACCGGACTTCGAATTGGTTAGCTTTCCTGTACGCCTCATCTGAACCAATTCTAAATCTCGAAACGTGTCTCCACCACCGCGGTATCTGCAGCTAATTTCTGCATTCGAGTAATGGCGATGGGACTCGCACTGTTGTTAGTCTTTGCACATCCCACATCGAATTGGAGTGATTTGCATGATGGTGGTCGAACTTCATGTGCTCCGTCGGTGCGTGTTTAGAAACACCATATCCATCGAGACGCCCGTAGCTCCCTTGGTGAAGCAAGAACAACCTGCATGAGGGCCGCTATAGATGTCCTTGACTGGCAACCTCAAGCCGTTAACATAGCATTTGGGACCAAGAAATGAAGAATGCGACCATATCGACGAGGATGCCAATCTGAACTAAATCTGCATAAGAGATGCTTGGATGCAGAGCTCCGTGCCATTAGATTCATGATCAACTGGGAAAGCAATACAAAGAGATACGTTTATGGGACCCCACATTCGGAATGCTGTTAGCGTAAGAAGGACTCGTTATTCGACAGCATGAGATTGAAGAGCTCGAGCTGTTACTCTTGCAAACAGAGTTCGTTTCAGTACCTACCCTTGCCTGCCTGATTGACCCACCAAGCTCGAGAAGAGACATGCAGCTCGACCATGCATGCAGCCAGTTCTCAGACCATGCACGAGAACAGGGATGAACTGTCTGACTGGAAGCCATGCAGAATCGCTGCAGAACAGAAAATTATATTGTGCCGTGATGGAAGGCATAAAGAGGCCTGTGAAGTCCTCTCAGAATGCTATCCGAAGTTCAATCGAATGTTGTGCACGTACCTCTCAACCTGTTCAACCAGAGATATAAAGAGACCAGTCATCTTCTTCTCAAACCTGCCAGACATCCTTCTTTGAACAGACTACCAATCCTGTCCTGTCCAATTCGAAGCTGCAATATTGTCCCCTCAAGCTCTAAGCATAATCATGTCCTCAATGTCCAAGGCACCAAATAACAACAAAGCTGCTCGAGCGAATGCGGTCAGCCCAGCCACTCCTCCAAGCAGTCCGACCATGCCGTCTTCAAATTTAAAGCTGGCTGTCATACCCTTGAAGCGCGGCGATACACGCCAAGCTCGCACTGCTAGCTCTAGTGACCGAGATGAACTACAAAGCAGCCCACCATCACAAGCGCCAGCCTACCAAGAGATTGCTCAAGCATTCACAGATGCCGTCAAGTATATTATGTCGGAGCCCAAGGAGACCGGGAAAGCTATCACACCCCAAGCCACGTCCAATACAGACTCCAAGCCTGTTGTGAGAGGCTCGAAACTAGAGGTAAAGGACGTACAAGAAGTGTGCGTCATCCTCATTCACCAACACCGTTCCAGAGAACTGATCGCGTATAGCTGGGACCTCGTAGCATACGCATACAAGATTGTGGAATCACCAGCTGTCACCGAGGTGAAGGAATTAGACACCTATGCTTTCGTCATTCGCACGCGTGCCGGCAAGTGCTCTGGCCCACAACACCAGCCTAAAATTTAACACGAGACCAGTTAAGGCAGAGGCCCGATCCATCGTTTACGTCGACATCAAACTACCGGGTTTGCGAGATATCCTAAGAGTTATGCTGAAGGACATCAAATGGATCAGCTTGGCTGACGACAAACCATCGGTGAGTAGTTCGCAGACCATTGGATCTTGCTCAGGAGGTGCATCGGTTTGAGCAAAACTTGCTCTTCCACTATCTGCCCGAACTCGAGGAGTATCGGGCCAGTGCAACCAGGTTTGAAGCACATGACCCGACAAGTCTTAAAGCCCTCGACTTGTTGATGTGCACCATCAAAGACCGATTAAGGGCTTCCTCAGAACGTCTCGATCCGCTTCTGCGACAAGGCAAGATCACGTACGACCTGTTATGGGCGCTTTTCAAGGCCAACAGCCACGTCGTCGCGACATGTCCTGGCAGCGGTCAGGTGAGGTGTCTTCAGTACAACACAGGAGACGAGAAGAAAACCGAACAGGGTATCGAATACTTCGAGCTCCAATGTCAATACCTCGATTTTGATGGCAAAGTGTTTGTCACCGTCACCGAGAGGCTGCCTGTTGAGCGGTTTCGTGGAGCTCGAGAGATAACTACTCTAGACACCTATCCGATTCACTTTCATCCTACACCGAACCAGATCTTGCAGTCTTTGATCGGACGAGGCCGAAAATTCATCTCTCTGATAGGGTCGCACCACCGAACATACGACGGAATCGCTTTTCGACGGTTAAAGGACGGTCTGGCCCGAAAGTCAGTTCAGTCCAAGATCATGATCGACGCGGACCAATTTCGGAAGACGATCCCAGGCTATGCACGTATCATCACCAAGAAAACGGAAGAAGGCCTCTTTTCTGACATCGTTACGACGCAGCAACGCGTGACGAAATGGGAGATGGATCTAGCCAACCTGCCGGAGGACAAGCTTGTCTTGTGTCCTCCCACGGTACTGGGTTTCAGTCTCAATGACAAGTTTTGGGGTGAGTGTACCCCGACGCTGGTTGCGCATTGCTAGATGCTGACACTTTGCTATAGGCGAGTACACGATCGATCATGTTCAGAGTATCGAACCGTCCTCAGCACTCTTTGACCACTTGTCCATTCCTATCAGCATGAAGAACACCATCGGATCCCTGACTCGTGGTCATCTGAGCCCACTGAAGGGTGGGAAATGGTCAGGCTCGAGCATGAGTGTTGCAGGAAGTGGTACAAGGATATTGCTCCAGTGAGATTTCACGACTCTTGGGGTTCGCCACCGTGCACACTGACGATAGTAGTGGACCACCAGGCGTGGGAAAGACTCTCACCGCCGAGGCTCTGTCCGAATTCCACCGACGACCTCTCTACTCGGTGAGTGATTGTGCTACCGCTGTTGGCAAGTGAGGCTGACGATCCAGGTCTCTGCCGGAGAACTCAGTTCGGACGCGGGAGAACTAGATCCCCAACTCACTAACATCTTCCGGGTGACGAGCGCGTGGAATGCCATTCTCCTGATCGACGAAGCGGACGTCTTTCTCCAGAGACGTGCTGAGCTGACTCTGGAACGGAACCGACTGGTGGCAGTCTTCCTCCGAAAGTTGGAACACTTCGATGGCATTCTGATCTTGACCACCAATCTGGTCGATCATTTTGACGGTGCCATCCTCGATCGTATGCATTTGCAGATGCAGTACTAACCGCTCGGTAGAGCCGCCAAAAAAGAAGTCCTCACCGGCTTTCTCACAAGCCTTTGTGGGGAAGATGGATTATCCAACTTTGGTGCAGACTATCTGGACCGATTTGTTTGCATGAATGTTAATGGTCGTCAGGTAGGTGCGCTGGACGACGTCAATGTGGTGAATACCCTAACGGTACTAGATCAAGAACATCGTGTCCATCGCCCATACGCTGTCCCGAGAGGACGAGGAAGAACTGTCCTGTCTCCACATCGACCACGCCCTGGAAGCCACGGGTCTGCGTTTGCCTCAAAGCGCTGACGAGCCGCTTGACCTGTACGACTGAGTATGTATATACGGGAAAGGCTTCGGGCTTCGACGATCAGAGAGTCAGAAATATAGGGTGCTGAAACAACAGGCACTTTCAAGAGAGGCATCGGCTAGTACTGCTAGTGTGAGAATGTTTCGGCAACTTATCGTTCTCTTGCCGTACAACACTATTATAGACCGTGACCCATCGGATGTGAAAATATAAGATCATCATTACCCACAGTCCTACAAGATCCCCGTGTCATGTTTGAGAAGGTCTTGTGAAGCATCACACCGAATTGTAGGTTGCAAACCAGACTCGTAGAGGTCGTAGAGCCCTACAAGTGAAGATGCACGCTCGTCTACAACGGCCTCAGGCGAGCTCAGGAATTCGTAATGTGCGGGGAACAAAATGTCAATATCTCGTTTCACAATGATGCACTCCTCCAGAAGACGAGGAGATGATCTTCTTGTCAAAATTTCCTTACCTTCAAGATCGACGACTTCGTCGAAAAGTGATGTACTTCGAAAGGAGTAATACGTCCTCGTACGTATGAACGTACATCTCCAGATCATCTTCATCGTCACACTCCTCTCTTTCACCGTAGAACAATCCAGCTTCGTCCATGCTGATAAGTCTCAGCCCAATAACTCGGTGCTTTAGATCCCACCGCTTGACATGCCAGATGTCGGTAACTCCGCACCCCGTCAAAATGATCACCCACCAAACTGATCACCTCTACCTGCGCCAGATTTTTTTGGTTATTCGCGTCGCATTCGCAACACCACGTAACAATGGGTAAAGTGAATGAGAAGACAATGACAGCTGCTATCGCAGCATTCAATAAAGGTACATACAAGTCGATTCGCGCAACAGCGACCGCCTTTAGTATCAACTACAGTACGCTACACGGCAGATTCAAAGGTCGTGCGACAATCACGGAATCTCGAGAGTCACAACGGAAACTCACCGATATATAAGAGGAACGGCTAACCCAGCTGATTATCGAGCTTGAAGCAACAGGACAGGCTGTTAGCCACCAGCGTCTACGAGATACTGCATCCTTTATCGCGTACCTCAACGGACGCGATAGCTACATTGGCAAGAAGTGGGTAAAACGATATATTACACGGACGCTAGCTATCAAAACCAAGGCGGGCAAGGCTATTAATTATAGAAGAGTACAGCATATAACAAAAGAGGGTATGTCACAGTGGTTCGACAAGCTATATGATATTTACACTACTAGGGACGTCAAGCAGTCATATATATGGAATATGGATGAAGTTGGTACCGCCTTGAACAAGTGTAGTAACTAGAATATAGTCGGTCGCTGCGACAGCAATATATCCATTGTCAAACGTCCCCATGACCGCGAATGGGCAACGTCTATCGAGTGTGTGTGTGCAGACGGTCGCTCACTCCAGCCATTGTTAATCTTCAAGGGCAAGCACGTACAACAACAGTGGTTTATCGCTGAAGAGACACCCGATTGGTGCTATACAGCTACTAGCTGTGCCTTTACGACGAATGAGGTGACGCTGCAATGGCTAAAGCGTATATTCGTCCCCCAGACGGCTGTTGACCTCCCTGATGGTCAATGGCGAATACTCGTCTGTGATGGTCACAAGTCACACGTGACGGACGAGTTTATGCGATATGCGATCGCTAATCGCATATACGTCGTTTACCTTGTTGCCCATACAAGTCATTTTACGCAGCCGCTTGATATAAGTGTGTTCTCATCGCTCAAGCGTAAGTCCCGTGCCCTGGTCGCCAGTGAGACCGTATATGATGATTACTCGCCCCACGAGAAGGCCCTGTTTATGAAACGCTTCGCCCAGGCGCGTAAGGCCGCTATAACAATATCTAATGTCAAATCAGGTTTTGCTGCGACGGGTTTGTGGCCGTATACACCCTCTAAAGTGGTAGAATCACGATGGCTATTGTCACAACCTTCCGAGCGACCTACAACGCCTGAGCGACCAGCCATCGACCCATCATCCGAATGGAATATACAACTCACACCACGCACCCACGCCCAGGCCGTTCAGGCCTTATCGACCATCGCTGCGACGATAACTGTCCCTCGCGCTGTACGTACTGTGGTCGCCAAGACCAGCAAGAGGTTAGAACACACCATATTCAAGCTAGCGGTCGTGGAACAAGAGAAGGACGCACTCGTCAGTAAGCTGGCTGATGTAGCCAGCAAAAATAAACGCAGGCAACCAGTCAATGTTAACAAGCGATTTATTGAGCTTGTCGACATTGAACTGGGGTCCCATGGCCCCCCAGTGCCTTTACAGGTCGCCAGCGGCAATGACGACGACGACGACGACGAGGTGGAAGAGGAAGAGAACGACGAGGAAGACGTATATATTCCACAGGATGATATGACTGCAGCCATCATTCAGCTATATAGCAATGTATAACAACACCAAGCAATGGCCAATATTGATCATTTTGGCGGGTGATCATTTTGGTGGGCGGTGGAGTTAACTTTGCTTGGTCGCTCACCAACAACAGCTCAAGTATTTGCAAACTAGATAAGCTATCAAAGGTCGCCGAGAACCACGAAGGCCTCAATAACTTCAATGCATAAGGCGATAATGAGGTCTCTGAGTGGCTCCGGAGTCATTTAGCACCCTCCACTGATATAAAGCTTGATTCTGCTTTCCTAGGCTCTTATTCGCTGACGACAGCGACGGCGTTATGCAGATGATCACTTTTCGAGTCCTCCAAGTACCTCTATTCATCGAATAGCCTGCAGCTCCGTCTTGCCGGCCACAAGGAGTCACCCCACATCTTGGCGATTACACAGTCTTCTCGACACTGAAAATCCACGTTCAATCAGACTGCATTATGATTAGTTAACTGTCTTCTGCACCAGTAGCACCAGGGTTCTGTTACAAAAGCCAGACGAGAATTGTTTCTTCCACTTTCCAATGTTCGTCGCACCGAAATGCCTCTTCTCTCAAGCCTTCGCGCTGTGCACGAGTATTCGCGCGACACGAACAATGCGTACCTCGCTAACACCGATAAGTTCCTTTTACGATTGAGAGATGTTCTTGCGCGAACCTGGGATCTTGGTTTTACTGCATTTGGCGGTCCTCCAGTTCATTTCCAAATCGAGCATCGCAGATTTGTGCAGGGAACACATGGCCGAATCCCATGGATTGACGAACGAGTGGTAAGCCAAGACTCTCTTTGCTAGACCGCACCGCGAGAGCATACTGGATAACAGCTGCCTAGTATCAAGAACTGTTCGCAATCTGTCAAGCGTTGCCAGGTCCCGGGAGTACCAAGATGCTCTTCTGCATCGTGCTCATACATGCCGGCATACTTCCCTCGCTCTTTGCTTTCTTGCTCTGGAGGTCAGTAATTGTTGAACCCTGAGTCTCGTTGCATAAATGACCTCGGCGATGCAGTCTGCCCGGAGCTATTGGTATGTTTTGCCTATCCTTGGGAGTACGTCAGATCGACGAAGTGCTCCCTGCGGTTGCGTACGCGTTTCTTTCCGGCCTCAATGCATCAACGGTGGGCATTGTCGCGCTTGCTGCTGTCCAGGTAAGGCGTCCATAGCGATCTTTATTCCTCTGCCTTAATTTGCTCACCTAGAGTAGCTTGCAGAAAAAGCTATCAAAGATCGACTCACTCGTATCTTGGTTCTCTTCGGTGCTTGTGCAGGAATGTGCTATACGGCATTATGGTACTTTCCTGCCCTCATCATAGCCGGCGGTATTGTCACAGTCATCTGGGATTTGTTCTTGAGGCAGCAAATTGAGGGACTAAAGGCCAAACGAGAGGCCAAAAAGCGAGTTCAGTCTCGCCTGTTGGACCGCGCTGTGGTCGAAGCAAGCAATTCAGTCGAGTTGCCTGGGCGCAGCACTGGAACAAGTCAGCCTGCCAGTGGTGTCCAACGAAGATATGCAGCGCAAACGAATCCTGATACCCAAGCAGTTCCGGAGACTGGCAGTGCTTGTGCGATGAACGAGGTTGACCGTACGGACATGAAGTCATACGCAATTCCTATATCTATTGGTCTTACTATAATTGCAGCATTTTTTGGTACGTCGGTTGTGTTGCTGGTTGTTCAAGTCTGACCTCCTCTAGGTTCGTTCATTGCCATACTTGCTGCCCGAGGGGTATTGAGCGATCCGCCTAGACCACTCGATCTCTTCGCCAACATGTACCTCGCTGGTACTATCATTTTCGGCGGCGGGCCTGTCGTCATTCCCCTTCTGCGCGAATATGTTGTTGAGCCTGGCTGGGTTTCAACGCGAGATTTTTTGATTGGTCTCGCCATCATCCAGGCATTCCCTGGCCCGAATTTCAATTTCGCTGTCTACCTTGGAGCGCTTGCAATTCTTGGGACGCAGCACTCCACCGTGTTAGGTGCATTCATCGGCTTCATGGGTATATTTGTGCCGGGAATTACACTGGCTGTGGGATTCCAGAGCCTTTGGGGGACTTTGAGGGACAAACCGCTCGTGAGCAGTATGTTACGTGGCATCAATGCCGCTGCTGTTGGTCTAGTCTTTACCGCTGTCTACCGACTGTGGGAGATTGGGTATCTGACACAAGAAGCCTCGAGCGGACAAAGCTTAGGTCGAGATCCATGGTGGGTTGTAGTCACCACTCTGACATATGCCAGCAATGCATGGTTTAGAGTGCCCCCTCCCATAGCTATTATTGGTGGGGGGATTCTGGGCCTTTGCTGGTATGGCGCAGTCGGATCCTGACTTATGTGGACTGGCTTCAATTCGTGAGAGGTGTTGCAGATATCACTGTATCTTTTACGACATGAATCAGAGTATGGTGTGCATGGTCTAGTTGCCTAGTGGACATATTTTTCTGAAGCCTCTTTCCGACCATGCCTGGCCCTCTAGTGTGCCGCCGTCCTCGACATAGTCGATCAGACTTCGAAGGCTGCAAACTATGGGGGTCTCATGGGGCGAGCTCGGGAATGAGGCGACTCGGACACGAAGGATCTTTTTTCCCCCCCGGTTCAAATGACACAGTGCTGATTGTGTCGAAACACCATGTATTTATGATGCGTAAACTCTCTGTGACCATTAGGATGTTGTAGTGGAGTCTAGTCTAACCACAGATCGGAAAGTGTAAAAACACGTCTTTGCATGACGGCCAGAGGGATGTCACATCAAAACGGAGGTTGCGGATGACTCAGCACATGGCATTTGATTGGCAGAATAGCACGTCCTGGGCTTGTCTACAGGGAGGCAAGCCCAAGCTCACGCCACAATGATATGCACCCCCTTTTTTCCAGAGTTTTTGTGTGTCCAATAAAAGTGACGCTGATTTTGCACACCACTGTGATTCGGAAAGCCTATTAGCCTCAAGCCATCAAACCATCAAACCATCAAACCAGGTAACTTTGTCAATGGTCTGCTGCTGTTGTTCGATATCGACGCCCACTCGATTGACGTGATTACATGCCTAAATTCTCCTTCAAATCGATTGTAACTTGCGATGCGCCTGACATCAATTTAGTCGCTCGAAGACTCTCAAAAGACGCTAGCTAGAACGTGCTGGGCAAAGTCTGAGTTTCCTCGAGAGCCCTTGCTCCAGTCTAGTGCACTAAGTTGGATTTCCTGTTTGATGGGAAGTCCGGCATGTCACAAATGCCATTAGCGCAGATGTGCAGGCTAAGCTTGAAGAGTATCCAGTAAGACTACAGCGAATCAGAAGCAGAGGCATCAGAAGTAGCAGAAAGAGGTCGACAAACGCACAAGAAGGACATGTGAAGCACCATAAGTGAAAGGTCGTGGCTTCAGTGTATAGCTCTTGTCAAACATTGCAGATTCACGCAAGTTGTCCAGGACAAGGGATATCGTTGCGCAAAGCACTGATCAGACGATGGCTACAATGATACACGGAGGCTGCCATGATGGAGTCACGCTGGAAGATTGCACGCATCCTGTTTTGACAAGGTCGGAACATTGCTATCTGCAGTGGTGAGATCAAGAATCCAGAAGAGTGTCAATACGAGCTGGTCGCAAGCTCTTGGTGTGGTTACATCTAGCGCAGTGCTCGTTGATGCTCACATTCCCACCATGAACAAGGCCAATGAATCGGATAACGGCAACGACACACTATAGCTTACTGCCCTTGTGACTATAGTGAGTCTAGCCAAAAGCGAAAGACCAATTTCCAAGGAGACAGGAGCAAATCGCGGCCCAAGTTGGGGAGAGCACAACTATGGATTGCAGGATCGCCTTGAAATAGGGCTGGAAGAGAAGATGGAACAGTATCATATAGTTGGGGAGAACAATCGCTGAGAGAACGAAATTCTACTACGCGTTAAAGTTTCACGCCGCACTTTGACAGTATGGACTGCGGTAGGTCAAGGCGAAGGATACAGTCTGGATGCTTGGCGCTTAAACCTTGCCACTGAGGTTTGCAATTGGTGCCGGTGGAAGCAGATATTGAAAACATACGACTATCGTCGTGGCTGCTAAGCCACGCTAAGACCGTGCACCTTGTACATCGCTAGCTATCCCCTTACGACTCAGTTTCGCTCTCCCAGCGTTGAGTCGCTGTCAGTAAGATAGTTAACTACAACAGTGCTAATATTGAGGCTAATAGCCTCTAGGGTACACCTAGGCCCAAAATATCTAAGCAGACTTAGATTGCAACTGTATTTACAAGTAGCACCCTTCCATTATGATGGTCATCTTTTTGCCTAGGTCAGTGGAACTCTGCTAGCTGGTCCTTTGTCATGGCTGAATTGTGATTGGTCAAATCCGGACAGACAGCAGCTTTTGTCCAGCTCTGCCCACCTTCTCTAAATTTTTACTTTCTCGCTCTCCAGCGACGAGGGCTCTGTATCGACCCCTACTGCACAACAAGGGCGTTGCTAACTCCCATCAGTGAAGTACTCGAAGATAGGTTGTTTCCCCCAGTGTGTAAGAGGCCTCCATCACTGCAGTCACGATTGTTTTAGCAGTTGATTCTTGCAAGTTGTTCTGATGTTTGCACAGCGCTCCACAAGGTTGCTTGTGCGACTCAGCAGGGGCCTTGTTACCTGCGCGACATCACACTCTCCTATCGCTCAGCGGGTTCGACGACCAGCTACGGAGGTCAGCATTGACAGTTGTCGACGCTTAAACGCATTTTCAGCCCAAGCTCGCAAAATGGCAGCGAGCAAGGAATGGCACGAAGCCTACCCTAATCCTCGCAACCAATCGCCTGATGCTATCAGTCGGCAAGCTTTGCTCGAACGCCTACGAAAAGGCCAAAAACCTGGCGTGGACTTTTTGCTCGTGGATCTCCGAAAAGCAGACCATCAGGTGAGAACAAATCCCATTGCCCCATACACGCCGAGTCTGCTCTGATATATCAAAGGGTGGTACTGTCAAGGGATCACTAAATCTGCCTGCTCAGAGTCTCTTCCATTCGCTCCCAACTCTGCTGAATATCTGCCAGCGTGCTGGCATTAAATCAGTGATTTTCTACTGTGGTGAGCAGTTCCTGGTTGATCTTTAGATGACTCGGCAATTAATTCGTGTTCATGCAGGCTCGTCCCAACATCGCGGTAGTCGGGCTGCTGGGTGGTTTGACGATTTGATCAAGGACCGCCAGGTGGCTGATGTTCAGAGCTTCATATTACGTGATGGTATCGCTGGCTGGGCTCGCGCAGGAGATGAGTACACTCAAATGATGGACGAATACGATGCCGAAACCTGGACTAGCAAATAGAGGTAAATGCACATCGGATTCAACTCTCGTAGACTGGTCTTTGCTGCATTTCGTGGTAGATGAGCGGCTTATACTAAATGAGCACAAGAAGATGGCGGATCTGTAACGCTTTTATGATATTTGTTTTACAAGTACTGGTTAGGTGCACTACGCCCGTCACATGAGCTTTTTAGAACACCTGCATAACCCCAAGAGTACACTTTCGACCTCATGTTTTCGGTACATGGAAAGAGTTCACTATGCATGCACATTTAGACAAAGCAAGCAACTAGGAAATGGCAACTGTCTTCGGTGTATACGTCAAAGATCTTAGAAGACTGGTATCATCTGTTGTTGGGAATAACATGGAAAACGTGGCTCAAGTAGGCATCGGCGAAGAACTGGAAGCAGTGTCTACGCGTCGAAAGTAGATAATCGTGCATATGCATGATCTCAGCCATGGACTACAATACTCTGCCGTGTAAAAGGCGAAATCTGCTAGAAATTAGTGTGTCCGAAGGAAGATTTCGTACGACGGTCGACAGAGAGGTCGAGTGCAGCAGACCAGAAGTGTAGCTAGCGCCAGCGAAGTCTGTGTAATGTCAGTCTCACCCCCGAAGCGCCATTGAATAAGCATCTCACAATTTCACCGTAGAGTTGCTTGAAAATAGGTTGGGTTAAGATTGGCTAATTGGGTCTTACGACGACAAGGTGAAGAACAGTTTGAGAGAATGGATGGCAAGGTCGTTCCACAATGGATTGATTTCACACTTGAGATTGATATAATCAGCCAGTCAGCTTGATACGAGAAAATGGAGTCCCAGATAGAACAAGCTCATGTTAATGATTGCAACTTCTCAAGCCTTCCGAGCAGCAGATTGCACATTGTCCATACGATAAAAACCAACAGCAGATTTATGACGATCACATTCAGCTGTAAGATGACGGCCGACCATGTCCATGGATTGTGCGACAGAAGAAAGGACATCTCCGATGAACCATAACTCCGCTCCTAAAATGGACCAGCATTGAGAGACACTACAGATGATGGCATCGCGGATGGTATAGTTAAAGCAGGCCGGTCTATTGTCAAATGTCGGTCAATATTTACATGCGCAGATATCTAGGTCATGTCCTCCCCGCACTAGGAGTCAGCCCGAGCTCTTTGCGCTCGGACCGGCGATGTGTAACCATTACCTCGCTTTCTTCCCACAATCGTATCTGGTTGTACTCTTGCTATGGCCCATTGGCTTCACCCTGCATGTTCTTATGCTGCGCCAATTCAGATTCGTAACAAGTTGATCTATTTACCGCTCACCGTGCTCCATTGCCTTCCTCTCACTGAATCGATCACTGAACAAAGCGAAGTGTCCTCGCATAAGTATGGTATATTTCACAAACTCTTCCACGCAGTCCACCAGCCTCGCCCTGTTAGCACAATCTTTGAATCGTGACCCTCCCTCCTTATCATCACTCCCAGTGAACAGTGTATGAGCCTGTGGTACAGAACTTTGGTTAGGAATCGTAAACATCCGCATCCACCGACCCAGTATCCGCAGATTGTTCACCGTGTTGAAACTTTGTGATCCGCCAGACACCATAGCAAGACCTAGTGTACGTCCCTGGGTCGGCCGCACCGAGCCCGTGCTCAGCGGGATCCAATCGATCTGGTTTTTGAACACGGCGGTCAAGTTCCCGTGCTGTTCTGGACTGACCCAGAAATGGCCGTCACTCCATCGACTTAAATCTCGGAGTTCTTGGACTTTGGGGTGACAGTGCTGTTCGTCGTCTTTCACAGGGAGGCCATAGGGATCGTAGATCCGGACATCGCAGCCTAGGCGGAAGAGAATGCGGGAGATCTCGAAGGCGAGCAGTTTTGAGTATGATCTTTTGCGCAGACTGCCATAAAGGACGAGAATTTTCAGCCTGGATTTGGTAGATGTGATCTCGTTGTAGGCCATCTTGGTGACAGTAGCTAGCTCGATACGGCTGATCCAATCAGTACGCTGGATCTCTTTAGGAAGGAGGAAGGGCCGATATTTTGCTCGGATCTCGGCATCGTCCTCTGAGAGTGACAACGCCAACGATTGGTAAGCGAATTGAGGGTCCTGGGATGGTAACTCAACGACGCGCATCGCCGACGTGTTGTTGAGATCGCCATTGCCGGATGCAACACCGACTGCTAGTATCTTCTCCGTCTTCTCTTCGGCGTCTTTACCTGATGGAACGACTTGAATGGTAGACAAGCTTGCCATTGTTGAGTTTTGATTCTGGGGTTGTGTCGATCGTGCCGGACCAGCAGAGGAATGAAGCAGCTTACGTCTTGTAGATAAAAAATTCCTACAGTGATTGGTGGCAAGCAGTAGAGATGAAGTTGAACTGCGGGCAATTTCTTTACACGATAGCAACGACGTCCGCATGCGAAAGACAGTTTGCTCAAATGACCAGCATGCTAAAGTTCGATATTTTGTAAAAGTTATCTTGTTTACGAACGAAAAGTGAGTGAGGCGTAAAATGTAGCGAGGGGACAGCTTGACGTACTTTGACAAAAGCACTAGGAAGGAGAATTTTTTGTGGATCGACATGGGTCAAAGAGTACTCACTTAGTCACTCGGTCCTCGTCGTTGGTCAGATTACTCAAGTTGCGCCATCCACTTTTGCACTCGTGCCAACCACTGGCTCTAGCGCATCGTAGTATTCGTAATCTAAGCTTTGCTCTGCAGAGATCTTCACGAAGAGACGATGTGGTATGATTAAATAAAATAGTCAGTGTCGTAAAGAAACGCTCACTGATGTAGTGATAGAAAGCAGTTAGCATCCAGCTATTGTTTGTTCTAGCTTTCCCACGCAGCAAGCATTACGCCGTGCATCATACGTTATTCCGGTCCTCCTCTCTCGCGCATACGATGCCGATATCAGTCGCCTTGCCAGGTGCCCGAGGCAGTGCCGCATTATGCGACGAGGACTGCAACGCATCCATATTCCAAGACGTGGCAGACAACCATACGGAATGTCCACCAGATGGTGGTTATGGATGGATCTGCGTAGCATGCTGTTTTGCTGTCAACTGCTTCACATGGGGTGTTGTGTCCGTAAGTCTACCCACAACCATCACGATAACCTCAGAAATAGCTCACGCTCAAGTCTTTTGGAGTGTTCCTATCTTACTACCTTTCCAGTAACATCTTCCTTGGATCCCGACCATTGGACTATGCGTTGATCGGCGGACTCAACTTTGGTGCTGCCATGCTTACAGCACCTTATGTGACAGTTGCTTGCCGGAATTGGGGATTGAGAGTCCCTATGTACGCTGGTACTTTGTTCCTCGGAGGCGGCTTTATTGCGGCGTCGTACGCAACTCACACGTGGCACCTATATCTCTCGCAGGGTGCTCTGGTGGGAATAGGCGTAGGATTCGTGTACATCCCAACCATACCGGTACTGTCGCAGTGGTTCGACAAGCGCAGGAGCCTCGCCCATGGGATCGCTACTGCGGGCTCTGGTATCGGCGGGCTGATCTTCTCGTTGGCCACTGGCGCCATGATCAATAACTTAGGGCGTGGATGGGCATTGCGGATCATTGGCATTATCGTCTTGGTGACAAATACCCTCTCGACCAGCTTCCTTCGTGACCGCAGTGCTATTGTGCGGCCGCAACAGCATCCGTTTGATCTTGCTTTGCTGATGCGCTGGGATGTGTTCTTCCTGCTAGTGTGGGCCTTCATCAGCATGCTGGGTTACATTACGTTGCTATACTCGTTTTCGGACTTTGCGCGCTCGATCGGTCTGTCCGCTGAACAAGCCACTCAAGTCACGGCGTTGCTGAACCTCGGAACGGCGCTTGGGCGGCCTTTCATTGGCATCGCGAGTGACCGGTATGGGCGATTCGAAGTTGCTAGTGGCCTGACCATGTTATGTGGTTTGTGCTGCCTAGCGATCTGGATCCCAACCTCTTCCTTTGGGGTGACGGTACTATTCGGTATGATCAGCGGAGCAATCCTAGGCGTTTTCTGGGTGGTGAGTGGCAAAAGGAAAGGTTCTCCTGATCTGACGCTAATGCATCAGACCGTTGGACCATTGTGTGTCGAGGTTACCGGCTTAAAACAACAGCCATCGCTTCTGGCGCTGTCGTGGTTGTCGATAGTTCTGCCGACGACGTGTAACATGCAGCCAATTCTCGCTTTCTAAGTTGTCACTGACGAAAGCAGTTTCCGAAGTTATTGCGCTCTATCTGCGAAGACCCAGCAGCGGACGACCATATCTGTATGCGCAAATATTTTGCGGACTGTGTTACGTATGTGCAAGCATTTCCCTGTGGTTGGTCCGTGGCATCTGCAAAAAAGCCACGTTTGAGAGTGCATAGGAAGATGAAGGATTATACGTCACAGAGGTACCGAGGATGAGACAAAAGGACAAAAGTCCAACCGAAAACCTTTGACAATACTGTTCTTTCTGGGTCTCCCCGTACCAGCTTTTCTATCGAGATTCGGATGAGCTTCATCAGGGCCATTGCGCACTTGAGGTCTGCGTGACGCCTTTCTCCACGATGCTATATCGTACTCGTCCATCAAGCTAGTATATTCATCGCCAGCACGAGCCCACCCAGCCACACCATCAAGAAGAACGACACTAATTATGCTCGTAATGTTGCGATCGTGGATTGGATCATCAAACCACCCCGCAGCGCGAGTGCCTCGACCTCGTGATGATCCTTACGCCATGTCAGCTTGATGTGCATAGATATTTATAGACGGTTATCGCTTACCGCAGTACCAGATCACATTGTCGATCTTGGTGCCTTCGCATAGGCACAAGAGGGTGGATAGACTGTTGTACAGGCTTTGTGCAGGCAAATTGATTGATGCCTTAATGGTGCCACCCTATTCAGCAATGAGTTCAATGCTCGCCCCGGCAGAAGGTGAGGCGACTCACTTCGTGGTCTGTTCTGCGCAGATCGACTAAGAGAAAGTGAACTCCAGGCTTGTCGCCTTTCTGGAAACGAGCAAGCAGGTCTTATCGTTGCAAGATGGCCGGAGATTGATTGCGTGGTTTCGGATACGCATCGTGCCAGGCTACCTTTTCAGCCATTGCTGATCTGCTCGATAGTCGCCAGCACGGAGTGTATGAGTGGCGTAGAAATTGTATAGGCTGTGACGCTTGGAGGGGGCTCAAATACGAAGGCCAGCGAAGCCGTAAGTTACATCTATACTACAAGTATAAAAAGTGATGCACTATATGTTTGAGCTTGAGATGTCTGTTATTGGTCAGGGGAGTTTCTTGGCTTTGTCATATCCTCGTCCTGATTGGCTAGAAGCTGCCACGGTTGCTTCGAGACGATGAAAACCGTGACGCGTGCTGAGTAGTGTCCGGGTCTACGTCTTTTGTCATTGTTCTAGTGTGATTGGTATGGAGTTTACTATCTGCTGGTCCCTTTCGTGGTAGTTTCGAGCCTGGTCGTCTATAAATAAGGACCGTTTGCACACCGTTTTCATCTACTTGTCATCCACTTGTATTTCTGTACACTATCGTTCTCGCACGATTCTAAATTTCGACCCTCAATTGCTCGCACAATGCATTCGTTCCATCGGAAAAGTAGTTCTGGCAGGCCTGCTACGCAAATTGATAGTTCAGCTTCGCCTACCATTGCGAACGACACCGAAAAACAAGCATCTCAGGATGCAACACAATCGAAGAAGTCGGTTTACGCAGGTCTGGGATGGCTTGATCGCCTCCTAGCACTCTGGATATTACTTGCCATCGTGATTGGTATTGTGCTTGGAAATTTTGTGGACGGCATGGAGGAAGCTCTGCAAAGAGGAAAGTTTGTTAATGTTTCTGTACCCATTGGTATGTTAGAGATGTCTCGCCGCAAATCTGTGCTATGACTGACAGATGGTAGCCGTGGGTCTTCTGGTTATGATGTATCCGATTTTGTGCAAGGTGAAATACGAGACCTTGCACCGCGTCTTTGCTCACCGCCAGATATGGATACAGTTGGGTTTCAGCGTCTTCGTGAACTGGATTGTTGCACCCCTTCTTATGGTAAGATTCCCTGACGGTGCCTTCTGATCTGCCCAGACTGATTCGACAGCTTGGACTTGCTTGGGCCTTTTTGCCAGACGAGCCCGGACTGCGCACGGGTCTCATTTTTGTTGGTTTGGCTCGATGTATTGCCATGGTATGTCGGCACACGATCCTAGCTTTTCGGGTTGCAACGATTGTGCTGACTGGTCTGCTCAGGTACTCATCTGGACCGGCCTCGCGGGCGGAGACGACGAGTACTGTGCTATTCTGGTCGCCGTTAACTCGGTGCTCCAGATGGTGCTGTACGCTCCACTGGCCATCCTGTTCGTGAAGGTCATTAGCCGCACTGATGCCGACGCCATCTCATACAGCACCGTGGCCACAAGTGTTGGGGTGTTCCTGGGCATTCCTCTTGGAGCGGCGATGGTAACACGTTTTGCTATTCGTGCTGTCAACGCCACGTGGTACGAGCACGTCTTTTTGAAGTGGCTTGCACCTTGGTCGCTGATCGGCCTGCTCTACACCATTCTTGTCTTATTTGCGTCACAAGGAAAGCAAGTGGTGCATCAGATCGTATCAGTGGTCCGGGTCGCAGCTCCCCTGATCGTCTACTTTATTGCCATCTTCTTCATGACGTTGGTTGTAACGAAACGGCTCGGGTTTGGATATAAGTTGGCAGCGACGCAAAGCTTCACGGCCGCAAGCAACAACTTCGAGCTTGCCATTGCCGTGGCGGTCGCCACTTTTGGAGCGAACAGCGACGAAGCTTTGGCTACCACGGTAGGCCCTCTCATCGAGGTTCCGGTATTGATCGCGCTCGTGTACTTGGTGAAGTGGGTAGCCAAACGCTGGAGCTGGGAAGACTAGCATCTATGCCAAACACGATAACAATATCAACCAGCGCAACTTCCGCTCGAGACGCCAAGCATATATCAAAGGTTTAGAGGCACAAGTTCAGGCCTGTCAAGCAGCACAGATGCAAGCAACCAAGGAGATGCAGATTGCAGCGCGAGCAGTTGCAGCAGAGAATTACCACTTCCGCGAACTTCTCAAGTCGCACCTCCATCGCAATGACCACGATATTGACATGCTTCTTGTAAATATGCGCGACGCCAGTCCGGCCCCACGTCGTAAGCCCCAGGTCAAGACAGGCTTCGACCACACCAGGGCAGGGACAACCCAGTCAAATCTTCCCAGCACAATCGTGGTGACGAGCAGTTGTCTTGAGTACAGGCATATAACTGTACACTGTGACCTCTCAAGCAATTTTTGACCTGACGAACACATCCCGCAGTAAGCGTCGCACAAACATCCAAAACCACCAAGTGTTTACCTGAGACAGAATTCACAGCTCTACAACACGCAGAAGCCCGAAGAGCCGGGTAAGCATCGTTGTAAGGGATTTGCACCTCAATTGCTAAGGTATGTACGGTTCTGCAGGTTCATCATGCTGCTACCAACCCTTTTTGAAACAGTAACCTCCTCAAATCGCCGAATATGATCGTTGACACCTCTGAAGTGCAAGGTCGCAGGCGACCAGTTTCCCGAGGGAGAATGTTATTTCGAGTTGGCAGAAAGCATCGGTTCTCTAAGATATAATTCTGCAATTGCGGAACTTATGGCATACCTTGTGGAGACCCGAACAACGGTCGATGTCCCTGCGCGACCAGAACAATAGCATGTTGTAGGTAATGTAACTGTGCTTGCCTACCCTCGGCACGGACCTGATTGAAGCAGCAACAGCTTGGCTGCGAGGCAATGGCTGACGTCTATATAACGTAGGATATGGCTGACCAAATCCTGAGCGAACCGCAGCAGACGGCAATACATGGTGGAATTAAGCTCTTTTTTGCTTTGAGGTGTCTCGGTCGACGTCTTCGCTAGAACCGTGAGAATTACGGAGTTAAGTACCAGTTTTCTGGAAGACGGGCCGGAGAAGGGTCTCGTGGACCGAAACTGAAAAGTATGGGATTGACACATTCTCAAATAAACACTCTTCTCGAAACGGTTTCGTCTGCCAAAGCTCACGGACGAACGGTTCACACAACTTTCACCATTTGCTGTGTTTTATTATTTTTATTTTTTTATTTTTTTAGTTTTAGGCCTCAATAGATCGATATTTTGTCTTGGACCCTCTTTCTTTCGGGAGACGGCTTCGACTGATTGTTGCGTTGTATATAAACGCCATGACCCGTTACAGAGGAAAAGCATGACCTCATGCTGGAGTACAGCGTGGGACACGTGGAAGTTGCTGGCGCGGTCCTGTTTGCTGGCGCACCATATCGACCCACTTTTTGAGGTGGGATGTTCTGTAATTCCTGTCCTCTATGTCCATCATTGAGTCTGGAACTGCTAGTCGTGACCTCCGCCTCGTTGATCGGATATACGTTCGTAACACTGAAATGACACGTAGATTCCTTGCGATTTTACGCAAGGGCTGAGAACAAAAAAGTGGTCACTCTGAGTAAGGCACGTTGTACTTCGGTGGTAGGACATGTGGTCGTTTCATCACCTTGACTCGGCGACATCGACCTCACATGTACAACGGAAGCGATGCCGGCTAGAAAGTCCAGTGCTAATGCAGGCCAATCTTAGCCGCAAGAACCTAGTCGGTCGACGGTATGGGGCCGTACACGAGGTCGACCTCATAGTCTCGGCGGGATTTGCAGACGACGCTTGCATGGCGGTACAGCCCTAAATTGACGGTAACTCCGCTAACGGGCCGCCCAATCGTCTTCTCCAGCTTTTGCTGGACGCACCACTTGAAAGACTGCCAGCTGCAGTATTCTGATTGGTTGATCTCAGATTCACAAAGTATTGTACTGAAACAAGAAGCCGCCTACATGCCGCGTTTGTAGATCGTGCACATACGGACTCGCCGAACTTTAGGGAACGTGCACCTCATGACCGCATTTTGGACGGCTGCAACAAAACAGCACAGGGCTATTCTTCTTGTGAACCACCAGAGACTCCTCGGGTATTGAAGAAGGGTGAATGCCAAATACAAGTTCTTCATAGGATGGACGGATGGTGCAAGGTAGTGCTTACTGTCCAGAGCGGCTTGAATGATTCAAACCTATGTGGCCCTGGCCAGAGCTCTGATTCGGTGCTTCAGAGCAGCCAGTCAGAGAATATGTTATATTATTGGCGCGTAAGTCTTGCACCAGATTGGATGATCGGTCGGAATCTGGTCTCAGCCTTGGTGTGTCGTTTTGACCTAATGAGAACGTCCCGTTCAAGATATCTGCCCTCGCGACATTCCTACTCTGCTCCAGTGGAAAAGGACATATCAAGTGTACGGATCTTCACGTTGTTGCAGAGAATCTTCACGAAACTGATT